AGAGCTACTTTGGGCTACTCAGGGACCACTTTGGTGAGTGTGCTGTGCCACTTTGGCCAATGTGCTATGGAAGAGCTAAGTTGCGCTACTCAGGGACCACTTTGGCCAGTGTGTTGTGGAAGAGCTAAGTTGGGCTACCGGGCGTGCTGAAGTCCCAAGTTCTCAAAATCTAACAACCCCACAGTCCTACGGGTGGGGAAAAACATCTCCACAAGTCCGCAGTGGCCGCCCCCCGTCAGACGGGCCTTGCTGTTCGGTTGAGAAAAAACATCGTTCGGGTCAGAGCGAATTGACCAATTAGCCACTCAATTAGCCCCAACGTCTCAGTCCAAAGGCATGTGTTCCTGGGGCGTTCCAGGGCACCTCTTCCTTGAATTAGAGGGCACAGCCGGTTCACGGTGGGGGACGGCATGAGTTCATCGTTTTAAAGATCTTTGGACAAGCCGCGCCATAGATGAGCTTGAGCACATCGCCCATGTTTGTCGGAGTGTTGGAGCCAAAAATTGAAGCTACCCAAACCATCCATGCATGGAATGGTTACCCAATGTTACCTACATTGGGGTCATGGGGTCATAAACAGGGTGTATGGATGGTCTGGGCTATGTCAACCGACCGTGGCTAAACACTGTACTTTGGGGGGGTCTTTGTTTGGGCGGCGACCTCATCATAGCTAAACACTTGGATCTTGTAGGGAGGGATTAGTATCCCAGTTCGCCGATTTATGCAAGTAGGACCTCAAGTTCAGCTTAACACCTTAGTTCGATTTGAGACTTTGCTGCGAAAGGGCGACTTAGCCAATATGATTGGTCTTGGTTGTGCATGTTATTGCTATGTGTTCTTACTTACAAGCACAAACATCCCGCTCATGAGTAGAATCAATGCACATATACAGTGGTTTCAGAGTAGATGGCACAATCCCCAAGTTCCGTGGTTTGTATGGCACCCCAGGCCCCATCAAAAGGACATATTGGGGTCCGTGCCATCTACTCTGAACTCACAGTCATCATGAGCTCGACGTGTTTCCTCAGGAAGGGCTCCACATCCAGCGCTTCGACTGGTTTCTGACACCACGGACCGAACTGTGTCGACGAAGGTCACGAAGCAGATCGAACGCACCGGTTCACGCCGTTCGGCTCGCGGTGACCGGCGCCATCTGAGCGCCTCGTTCTGATTCAGATCGAGTCCTGAGGACCGGAAACCTAAAAAAATAAACAACAACGAGTCCAACACCCTTTGTCTTTGCAGGTCGAACGTGTGCTTTCCGGCGTTCGTGTCCAATACCTTTTTGTTAGGTAGATTGCGCGCGGGCTTCGAAGGACAGCGGACACCTCCTTTGAGAAAGGCTTCCAATGCAAAAAAAGGCTGGTTCCACCCACCAAGCCATGCCGAGCCCATGATTCTGGAGAGGTGGGCATTCATCTTGATCAAACACTTTTGGTTGAGGGCACGTGTTTTGCAAACTCATTGAAAGATTTGAAAGGACTCTGATCTTACAAAAATAATCACAAATAGCTGGTCGGCCAGCCGAGAGCGTGAGTGCTGAGCTGGTTGACAATGCAAATACCCTCCGATTATATATTTGAACTCTTCCAAAGACAATGGCGGACATGAAATATGGTCAAATAGCTTGGCACCAAAAGACACAGACCACTCAATGACATCCACTTACAAATCAGCATCAAAGGACTCCAGGTTGAACATGATTACATACGATTACTATCCATCAGAACCACTGGTGGCATACACAAACACCCATCCAGTTGATTCAGCCAAACCTGTTATTTTCAACTTGGCATGGGGTTGGTATCCGTTAAATCGAATCAACTGCACCAAATAATCGAAACATCAACGCCAAGCCATGCCCAGCTATACATGATCATTGTCGAAACAAAAACATATCAACAAAAAAACAAGTAGAAAGGAACCTATATGACAAAATCCCTAAACCCAAAACCCGTCCGTTGATCATCTTTGAGACGTAAGAAGATTAAGAAGACAACGGACATTGATTAAGACACCCCATAGGTTGCTAACACAACGGGTGCTTCATGTCGTTTGATGCTTGGTGCGCAGGACACTGGGGCTCCAGGCTACATCCCGGAAAGCCTCCTGTGGATCCAGCGAAACACCAACCGCAGCGGGACAAGTGCTCCAAAGAGTGAATCCAACCCGCAGAATTGCCGACGGAATTGGTATTCAACGCTTGTTTGGCTAATTGTTTGGCTAATTATGCCATTTTGTTGACCTACAAGCAACGGAACACAATGTTGTTTGATTGGACAAACCAAGGGGACTGGACCAGGAGAGCAGGGCGATCCCAATTTTTGAGAAGGATGCATTTTGAGGTGAAGCGATGTTGAGGTTGAGGCGTCGGTGAGGTTGGTTCAAGTTCAACTGCGGTTAATGTATACACATTTGATCAATATTTGTATACACTCTTGATTCATAAACCACACCCAAACATTGATTGTAAAACCTCTTCAGGCTTGAGGGGTTGTACTATGATCAAGAGTCTAAATCAGGGGGATCGCTGGTGTTCTTCAGCGGCTCGAACATCCAATGCCATCCTCCAAGAAACCAGCAGTTCATGAAGCAAGAACTTGGCCTGGCCAAGTCAAAAGCATTCCTCCACGCTCTTCGGGGCGCTCCAAAAAGATCCGAAATCAATCTAAAGATCTAGCTAGTTGAACCAGCTACCTCCCTCCTTCTACGGCCTAACCCCCCACCGCTCTACGGCTGTGCTGTTTCACTTGGCTCTTGAAGTTGGAAGGCGAACACCGTCGCTCCCAAACGGCTCGGGGCACTTGCCGGTGTCGCGACACCGCATCCGGGAGACGTGGAGTGGGGGGAGTGGGGAGCCATAGTCTATAGACAACAAGTAGACTAGCTAACTAGCACATGTATATATATATATATATGTATATTATAAATATAATGTGATATAACTTGTTATATTATAGTTAATATAATATATAATATATTCATTAATATATACTGGTAATTACTAGATTTGTGACATGAATTGAACCAAGCGGGAACGGCTATGAAAGGATGATGTCTAACGGTAATGAAGCTTCAACATCAAACAAATGGAGGAAGCAAATCAAGAAACGTAACAATAAATACACCAGAAAACAACAGTGACAATAGTGAAAAACACGCAGCACAGGAACACAATGTCCACAATCTTACACAATCATAATACAGTAAACGTCCAGGGGGAAGAGAAATGCGTGGAAGAAAAAACAACAAGTAAAAACTCAGTAGAACACATGATCACTCTTCGGTTCTTTTGGCACGTTTTGTGACGCTTTCACACGTTCACTGTCGTGCAGTGCTTCAAGACATTGCCCAAACCATCCATGAATCCATGTATGGAATACAGTTACTCACATCAGGGACACAAATGGGGTACATGATATCATGCAACTATTTCATACATGGATGGTCTGGGTTCTGTCAATCCGCATCCAGGTCCTCGCTCGCTGCTCGCTGTTCGCTGTCCTGGTCCTCCATTTGTCTCCACCGCCTGGGCGCACAAACTGCAATCAGTGTCTTTGGGCCCCTTGTTACTAGTAGCTTCTTGCTACTAGTAAACCTAAGAGCGATGCCCTCCAACCTACTGTCTTCTTTGGGCCACTGAATCCCAAAGCACGTGTCTGGCCAAGTCATTGAATCAAAACCTGACGGATCATGGACACCTACGCTCGCTTACGCCAAGCAGCCAGCCCTTCAAAAGATCTTAAATGATGTACTGGATGACACGGATCTATATAATATGATGTCTTCCATTCCCAACTGCGGAAAACGCGTCATCTGCCTGATCGAACACCAACAAATGGGCACAGCCAAGACCAGCACCCCGGCACCTGAGGACGGCGAGCGAGGGTCCAAGAACCCGAGCGAGTGGCTGACTGAAGAGTGGATGTAAATTGCAACATATTAACGCAACCAATCACCAATCAGTTCTGATGTATAGACATGTTCAGCATCCTCTAGGCCTCTAGGTGATTGAGATTCTCAAAATCCGACCGAACTGGTAACTGGTCGCCCGGTCCAACCCAAGCTCTTCTTCTGTCGGTGTCGGTTGAAGCCCCAAAAGGCAATCGCTACCCGAGCCCCGGGCTGACGAGTAGAAAGGTGACTCGGTGATCGGCCATGAACCAAAAGATGAGGAGCCAAACCTGATGCCGATGATGCCGATGGACCAAGCGAGCAAGACGTGAAAAAAATGGAAGGGAGCTGTCGGATCGTGGTGTCCGAGAGGTGGGATGGCGGTGGAAATGGTTGAAAGTGGAGACTGCAGTGACTCCGTATGCCAAGTCATCAAGTAACAAATGGGATCAAGATCAAAGCATAAGAATTGAAGATCTCCTGCATATTCACGGTCAAACCGTACCTTCAGTTCTGTTTGGCGCGCCCTCCGATGCACGCCAAGTAGCCAGAAAGCCAATCACAGAGAAGATGGCCAGCCGCGTCTTACACCTCGCAAACGAGTCGAAGTCTGTGGTCGCTCAGTAATCACTTGAACCCACCCAAGTCCCCAGTCCCAAAATCCTCCAAACTGACCCCTTTTTGTTCGCCTTTCTTGAGGCCACAAGCAAACTGAGCAAGTTCGGTGCAAGTTCATTCATCTGGTGCAAGCAACCCATCCACAGTAGAGAACGAAGAACCTCCTCATCGTCTCCAAACACACATAAAGACTGACCACCCAGCGTCTTTTTCACGACTGCCTTTGCCACTCTTGCTCCTTCCGCAGGCGTGTAGCATGTGCGCTGAAGGTGCCCGATGCCTGGACGACCGCGGGATGAGCCGGGAAGACCGCGGGCGGTTTAAGATGGGTCAAGGAAGGGAGAGAAACACCAACAATGTGCTTCTGCTATGGTACTTCTGGAAACGCATGGAACAAGAGCAAGGAAGGACCTGGTCCAAGAGTGTTGAACAGGAGTTTCTCTTGTACCAACTGGTTTGGGAGACCCCGCTGTGGCTTCACACGGGGTGCAGGGAATACCTCTCTGTGCAGGAATGTGGGTTTCTTGGGGCGGAGACATAAGGCCAACGGCTCAAAGCGCTTGATTGCAGACCCTCTTCCACTGGAAATTCTCAAACCTCCAATGACTCTCTTGAGCCTCAAAACGACTTCAAATCTCAAGTGCAAACCTCATGGCGCCTACCCATGCTGTTGACATCCTCGTCTTCAATCGGATGGACGTGAGCCCGACCCCGCCATCCGAACCACGACTCTCTGTGAACAGCGTCCATTTCCGGGCCATCCGACCACATGAAGCGAGTTGCTTTTGCCTCCCACGCCGTCTTCGCCCGAGAATCGCCACGATGGTGTGCAAATAGTTTCAAAAATGAATCAAGCCAAGAGCATCCAAGAGGTGGTATGGGGCGACACATGAGGACACAGCAATGGCTTATAATTGTCCTGGCAATTAGGTAGCTAGGCTGCCCTTGGCCAGGTGGTTTGCTGGAGATCCAAAGATTTGGACATGCCAAAGATCAAAATATTTCTGAAGCTGGCTTTTCTCTGCGGTTGGATAGAATGAGCGGAACATTTGGGCTTCCAGAATGCAGCATGACTTTCCAAGGTTTCCGGACTGGTCTTGGATGGAGGCCTGCAAGACTTGGAGAAACAAAGCCTCTTTTCCGTAATTGCCACCCGCAACTTGAAACAACAGTAAAACAAACAAAAACAAACAACACAAAAGAGCGATCCCTTTTTGGCCTTCAAGGTCATGTAGTTGCACATCCCTTTCTGCCATGTTGCGCATATTGTCCCGCCTCGTTGCGCGTTTCTGCTTCCGGTGACACTATCGAAGCTGCGATCGCACTGATCCACTGCGAGTCGCAGTCAATCGAGTAGGGAAAGGGGTGGTGGAGCTTGACAGGAAAAACTTATGTTCCAAGTTCCTAGGCATCGCCTCTTTGGAAAAACAAGAGGCCGCTATGAAGTTGGGGCTCCTGGCCTCGCTACGAACGGAGCGATCGGACGCTACGAACGGGGCTCCCAACAAGAAGCTACTAGGGTCTCCTATCGCCATTCTGACCGATCACCACGAACATCAGGGCGGAGACACAGCACTGGGCGGAAATATGTGTTATCATGTTGGTCACTGGGCGGATCTTCCGACAGTGTCCAGCCAAAGTCCATATATGGCTTCCACCAAATGCAAAACGGGACGTATCATGATAGATGCCATAGTCGATGCTAGTGGCTTTCTCTCACCTTATATTATGTTTTGATATGGTCATCCACTTGTCTGAGGCCTTCCAAAGGACACCTATGTATGGAAACTAAATAGCGCCAGTTTCGCTCAAATCCTTCCAATGTACTTGCTGATTATAGTTGAAAGTTCTCGCCCCTGCCCCCGATCATAGGTCAAATAGTAGCTTCAAACATGCTACAAAATGCCTCAAGATGCTTCAAATTGCACAGCTTCAAGGCCCGGCCACTGGATCTTAGTAACGCTTGAATCTTCTTAGATGCTTTGCTTTGCTCGGCTTCTTAGATGGGTCGCGGAAGATGTGACATCGGCCCTCATACCGCGCCCCCTCCGGTTGCCCTTCCTTCCTCCGGTTGCCAAGCCACATCACGCCCATGGCGCCATCGAGATCGGCCCTCAACCGTCCGATCGCCTCACCCGGACGACGGTGCGGTCGCTGCGAGTGCTGAACGGTGCGAGCCGGCTGCTCGGTACCGTAGTGCACACCGCAGTGCATACAAAAACGGTCTATAGGACCTAGGGCCGTAGAGATCCACCATCTTAAAGCTTCCTTCACCCGGACCAAGCAACTTGCTCCATGCATACGGTTTGGTGAAGATGCAAACAACCAAAGCCGGTACTCAAAACGATTGCTGGCGCACGGCTTTCTATTAACTCCCCAAAGACTTTAGAGTTCTGGCAGTTCACCAGCTGAGACGCCCCCACCACCTATATACCGAACAAAGAGCGGCTGTCGGCCTGTGGATCGTTTGGAGGTGGAGCTGACATTGCTCGGTGGAGACGATGAAAAGGTGGGCTGACCTATCCGTGCTGGATGTGCTCATGACTGCGGATGCATTTTGCCGCATGCTGCCAGGGATCTGTTCTTGTTTCGACGGCGAAGGGTAGGGCGAGTATAATAGATGGGATGTCTCTGAGATCTGGGAAGCTGAACATGGTGGAAGTGCTGGCTGGCACCTTGCATCACTTAACGTATGAGGCAAATTTCTGCTCAACGTCTTTTCCAGGATCTCAGGGGTCATGTTCGAGCCAGTGCTGATAGCAGCCCTCAAAGTCCAAGTACATAACTAGCCCCTACAGCAAATGGGCAATGATGCAGCACCCTAACATACTAACATGGCACATCCAAGACATATTCTTTTCAGCGAGTTTGCTTCTAGGTTGGAGGTCATCACTACTAGGTTGGAGGCCATCACTATTAGGTTGGAGGCCATCGATGGCTATTAGGGTTGGAGGCCATCGCTATTAGGTTGGAGGCCATCGCTATTACCATCACTATTAGGTTGGAGGCCCATCGCTATTATTAGGGTTGGAGGCCATCGCTATTAGGGTTGGAGGCCATCGCTATTAGGGTTGGAGGCCATCCCTATTAGGTTGGAGGCCATCGCTATTAGGTTGGAGGCCATCGCTATTAGGGTTGGAGGCCATCGCTAGGCCAGCGCTATTAGGGTTGGAGGCCATCGCTATTATTTTGGAGGCCATCGCTATTAGGGTTGGAGGCCATCGCTATTAGGTTGGAGGCCATCGCTATCAGGGTTGGAGGCCATCGCTATTAGGGTTGGAGGCCATCACTATTAAGTTGGAGGCCATCGCTATTAGGGTTGGAGGCCATCCCTAATAGGGCTGGAGGCCATCGCTATTAGGGTTGGAGGCCATCGCTATTAGGTTGGAGGCCATCGCTATTAGGGTTGGAGGCCATCGCTATTAGGTTGGA